GTGCCGCGACGTGCATAACAGTGTGGAGCGGCAGTCTTGAAGTCTTTCATGTGGTTAGTGGTGAAGTAAGGGCCTTGTTTCCTACGAATATGATAACATCGATCGTTTCGATGGGCTACATGGATCAGCGTGGATGAATCAATGACCATACGATATTGATAGTGGCTCCATTGTAGACGGAGCACTGGTTCGGTAGATAACAACTGTGTTGAGTTTGAACTGAGGAGACTCCAACTTGAGAGAATGGATAGGGCATTTTCATATCTTACCTGCATATGGTAAGGAACACCTCTGAAGAGCCAGTCAGTGAGTTGATCGAGACCAACATCCCGGAACGAGCGAAGAATTTAGACGCCAGTCAGTCGGTGGGAAACTGCGTTGTGTGTGAGGTTGCAATACTCTTCTAACAGAAGCCTTCCCATGAGCAGTTTATGGAGGCTGCAGTGCTCAGCGCTACGACTGGTAGGAGCTTGAAGTGGTGGCGTGTTATGATGATTATTATCATTCAGGGGTGAAGCTGAAAGAAGGAGGGCCTTTCGGTGCTTGCATCACCCGCAATGACGTTGTTGTTTGTTGCGCTCACAACACATTTTTTTCGGACCGTGATCCAACTTGTCACGCTGAGGTAAGCCTCAGAGTTGCAGACAGGATCAGCGTGCTCCCCTAGATGAATGCTATCCGTATGGCTATGCATCTGCTGAAGACTGATGATCTCGCTGGTTGCGTTATTTACTCATCTTTTGAGCCCTGCCCTATGTGCTGGGGTGCAATACTAGCAAGTGGAATAAGGCTACTTTATGTCGGCTTGGACCGTCATACTGCAGCTAAGAACGGTGTGGAATATCTGGGCTTTTATGATGCCATTCTTGACACTAAGGAGAGCATTTCCCCAATGATGCACATCAACCCACCAGCATCTGACAGTGATGAGAAAATCATTTCTATGGTGAGTTCATGGGTGAGAGAGTGCCTTATGTGCTTTTCAGCTTACTTCTCCTGAGCATTGCATAATTGTCAACAAGGATAACAAGATTATAGCTGATAGCAGTACACCTTCCATCGAGTCGTTCACGGATTCTGTGGACACTCTAATGGTTAAGACTATTCGTCTGGCTTGTCGAGCGATCAATTCGCCCTACCTCCAAGGCTGCAAAATGTGAGGTTAATTGGAAATGATGGGATAAGTGGTGCGTTGTTAGTTTCACCTTGGAAGCACCAGATGTCGAGTCGCATGCTGCCTGTCTATGGGCTCTCGTTGATTCCCTTCACTACTGTTCTGAGGCCCTACCTGGTTCGAGGTGAGCAACTGGTAGGACTGATGGAGGATCACATAGTGATTGCTGCCTTCGCTCAGGGCTCGTTATCAACGTGATCAATATGAACTGGAGCCGTCGAATAGGGACATTCGTGTCGTGTATGGATGTGGTGTAGATACATGCCTTAGCATTATACCAGTATGGTTTGAAAGTGAGCTCCATAAGGAGAATCCTCAGCTTAAGGCTTGTTGAAGAGTTGTACCTTATTACTATTATACCGTTCTTGAATCCTATTAGTTTTTAAGAATCACATTAGCCACATTAGCGTATAGATAGAACTCATACTGAGAGTTTCACACAGTGTATGAGAAATTATTTCCTGACCTATTTGATACAACGCGTATAACGATTATCGACCATTTGTAATGTCAGCCAATGAGTCAAACGACTGACTAATTGTGGGGGTAGAGAGCTGATCACCGTCGTTGTTCAGTTGTATGGATAGACACCATTTTCTTGAATATGTGCAGGAGCTCTCCACGAGCCTATTAGTGGTAGTAGCCGT